CCCCCCCCCCGCCAATGCCTAAAGGACACAACTCCCCATATCAGTGGCCCAGGTGTGGACGCAGACCCCCAGCCGCCGCCAGTGCCACCACAATGCCTCTCAATACCATTCAGACCAGTCATAACAGTTGAAGTTTTATTGGCAGCACAGCAATGCCAAAGGGAATTAATTAGTCTTTGGCTGTTGGATATGCTGGATGCCTCGGCCAGAGCACCATAGGTGATGTGGGAGACACAGCCTCACTACATGGCAACAGCCCTGGCCTGGGGTAGGCAAGGCTCAAGGAGAGAAAAACAGGGTATCTGCTTTATAGATTCAAGGGACCCTGTGTTACTGGGGACTCTAAAGTTTGGGCAAAATGAAGGAGATGAATGTTCTCTGGTTGCAGGGGTGCCCTGCTGACAGGAACTAGCAGTGTCCTTCTACGGGGGCCCCCGGGCTGTGGGAAGACCACAGTAGTTGCTGCTGCCTGTGGTCAACTTGGGCTCCATTTACTGAAGGTGAGGGTCTCTGGAGAGTAGAATCCCAACTACTTCCCCTCCCTAGCTCAGGTTCTCCCTCTCTGCTGCTTCCTCTCCCCTCCCTCCTCTGTCTACTCACAGACCCTAACACTTCAGCCCAGTGGGTCAGGCATAGTCCCATGATGCTCAGCTGCGGAGAGGTACTTTCAAGAAGAAGGGGGTTGCAAGATAGTGGTGGACAGTCCAGGGAATGGGATAGGGTAAAAAAGACGTAGGACTTGGCCAGGGTATCTTCCCCATCCCTGCCCTCCAGAGAAAAAGATGGCTCACATCTTCCGACTCCTCCTCCCCTTATTCTCCTGCCTTTGTCATGCTTGCCCCTTGCTCACAGACCCATTGGGATCCCCTCCCCAGGTGCCCTGCTCCAGCCTCTGCGCAGACAGTAGTGGGGCTGTGGAGACAAAACTGCAGGCCATCTTCTCCCGGGCCCGCCGCTGCCGGCCTGCAGTGCTGTTGCTCACAGCCGTGGACCTTCTGGGCCGGGACCGCGATGGGCTGGGTGAGGATGCCCGTGTGGTGGCTGCGCTGCGTCACCTCCTCCTTGATGAGGACCCCCTCAACAGGTATTTATACAGAGCTGGGCCTGTCAAAACGAGGAGGCCGGCCAGACGTGGTGGCTCACGCCTGTAATCCCAGCACTTTGGGAGGCCAAGGTGGGTGGATCACCTGAGGTCAGAAGTTTGAGACCAACCTGGCCCACATGATGAAACCCCGTCTTTACTAAAAACACAAAAATTAAGTCAGGTGCGGTGGCTCACGCCTGTAATCCCAGCACTTTGGGAGGCCAAGGCGGGCGGATCACAAGGTCAGGAGATCAAGACCAGCCTGGCTAACATGGTGAAACTCCATCTCTACTAAAAATACAAAAAAAAAACTTAGCCGGGTGTGATGGCGGGCGCCTGTAGTCCCAGCTACTAGAAGGCTGAGGCAGGAGAATGGCGTGAACCTGGGAGGTGGAGCTTGCAGTGAGCCGAGATCGCGCCACTGCACTTCAGCCTGGGCAACAGAGTGAGACTTCTTCATACACACACACACAAAATACAAAAATTAGCAGGGTGTAGTGGCAGGCGCCTATAATCCAAGCTACTTGGGAGACTGAGGCAGGGGAATCGCTTGAGCCCAGGAGGTGGAGGTTGCAGTGAGCCAAAATCGCATCATTGCACTCCAGCCTGGGCGACAAGAGCAAGACTCAGTCTTAAAAAAAAAAAAAGAAAAACAAAAACGGGGGCAGGGGGAGCAGCCTTCCTACTTTTCAGCCTTTCATTCCTCCCTTCTCTCACCCCTCAGTGACTTCTCAGTCATCTACCACCCATTTGGCTGCCCTCTAGACAGCCCTGAGCTCAGTGTCTTAGAGGGATCCAGAGGGAAGAGTCTGTGGTCTAGCATTTATTGGGGAACAGTTGGTTAAAGAAAAAGCCTCTGCCCTCAATGTGATGGGGAAACACAGTTCCCCCATCTAGGAACTGGGGTAGGTGCTCATCTCCCTACCCCATCCTAGCACCCACCTCACTTCCCTGTCGTTCTGTGCTGACTTTGGGACAAGGCAGTCCACAGGAGCTGTCAACCACATTCTTACCCCCAGTGCCCACTCCTCTGTCTGCAGCTGCCCTCCCCTCATGGTTGTGGCCACCACAAGCCGGGCCCAAGACTTGCCTGCTGATGTGCAGACAGCATTTCCTCATGAGCTGGAGGTGCCTGCTCTATCAGAGGGGCAGCGGCTCAGCATCCTGCGGGCCCTCACTGCCCACCTTCCCCTGGGCCAGGAGGTGAACTTGGCACAGCTAGCACGGCGGTGTGCAGTGAGTATCAAGGCAGAGTACTGGCCCTCCCTAGGAGGTCCCTGGCTTTTGTTACAAGAACTCAGTCCTGTTGCCTTGTGAGTGAGAATAGAAAACCCAGGCTGGGTGCCGTGGCTCACGCCTGTAATCCTAGCACTTTGGGAGGCCGAGGTGGGCGGATCACCTGAGGTTGGGAGTTCGAGACCAGCCTGGCCAACATGGAGAAACC